GGGGGGGGGGGGGGGGTCTGGGCGTGGTTCTGCCGCCAGCGGCGGCCGCGGGGCCTACTAGAGCGAACTAGAACGGTTCTAGTTCCAGTATAGACCTACAGGACGTCCATAGCGTGGCGCGTAAATTTCTAGCAGGCATGGGCCTGGCCCAGAAAGCCTGAGCAGGCCCCACTGAATCATTTGGATTAGAGCCTCTCCGAGTCATGATCATGATAGGTGGCCGTAGTGAGGATGGTGTCGCGGCAGTCGAGTTGTACTTTGCGGAATTCAAGTGCATACTGAGGGCGGCGACAGGCTAGTGACGGCTTACCCTGCGAAGGGAACAGTTGGGAACCAGTGTGTGCTTTTGTCGCTTGCACATGTGTTACAGGTCCATTCTGGCATCTTTAATTGAAACTGAGCTCAGCCCCCCCTTGAGGGAGGATTTTACTTTGCTTCCTTTTGCTCAGGCTAGTGGGAGAGACGAAAGGCCAAGTGGACGGAAATTGCACTTACGGCAGTACAATATGTTTCCGGTAACGGGCTAGTGAGTTTAGACCACCTATCATCATCCAGCTAAATAAAACTGCTGGTTGTGGTGGTCCTCTCCCAGCTCGCCGCTTCCCCGGGGTCCGGGGTGGCGCGGCTTATATTTTCTGGCCCGCCCACCACCCTCCTTCGGCACAAATGAAGCACCCGCCCTACCCTGCCCTCCGCTGAGGTGGCTGCGCCATCCAAGCGCGGTCCGTCGGCCTTCATTCTGGCATCTTTAATTGAAACTGAGCTCAGCCTCCCTTTGAGGGAGGATTTTACTTTGCTTCCTTTAGCTCAGGCTAGTGGGAGAGACGAAAGGCCAAGTGGACGGAAATAAGATGCATCGATATCTAAATGTAAAACACGAAGGTCGGCGTTGCGAGAACAAGATGGCGTATTACGACCGCGCTAGTATGGTCCCCCGCACGCGACCTTGCGAGCTAGACCCCAGCATACTCCAGATGTATCATACTTTTGGAATGGATGCATCGCGCAAGGCCAATCTGGAATATTTAGACGAGGAAAGTTCCGAGCCCGTCGTCGCGTACGTGGCTGGAAATGCTCTTACCCTTTTGCACGTGCCTTCGATGAAAAGGCAGTACGTCTTCGGGCTGGCTAAGAGCGGCATTGGTTCTTTTGTCGTACATCCTTCACGAGAGACTTTTGCTGTTGGGGAGAAGGGCAAACTTCCAAATGTGTACATATACGAATACCCAACACTCAACATCGTGAAAGTTTTGCGCAACGGCGCGACCCGAGGCTATGCTTGCATGTGCTATTCTGATAACGGCCAGAAACTTGCTACCGTGTCGAGCACTCCTGATTTCATGCTCAGTATTTGGGATTGGAATAACGAGCAAATGCTCCTGCAGAGTAAGGTGCGGTTTGGCTCTATTTCATAATTCAAGACCAAAGAATTTCAGGCCTTCGGCCAGGAGGTGTACAGCGTTCGTTTCTCTCCAGGGGATGATGGTCGTCTAACGACATCGGGCACTGGTCACATTCGCTTTTGGAAAATGGCGTCAACGTTTACTGGACTAAAGTTGCAAGGTGACATAGGAAAATTCGGAAAGGTTCGGCCAGTGTTTGTTCTCGGTTTGTCCCTATATCCTATTTGTAGGTCGAGCTAACTGATATTTGTTCCTTTGTTGAGCTGCCCAACAATCAAGTCCTATCCTCAACTGAATCTGGTGCGCTCCTTCTGTGGGAGGGTAATTTTATCAAGTTGCGAATTATGCGTGGGGAATCCAGATATTGCCATGACGGCGAAGTAATTATTGAGATTCATGATGTTCGACTGGAGTTGAGTTGGATTGTAGGTCACGTACATGAGCTTGGAGATCAGCTCTGGTTTAGTTGTTTCCGCTGGCGTAGACGGCTGGGTGAGGTATTGGAATATAGGCTCAATCGTAGACGCAGACATAGACGCAGACACCTCCTTGGACTTCAATCTAGAGCCAGCTTGTGAGATTCAACTTGATGAGCCCAGTAAATGTTCTATTTGCTGGATGTTGCGTGGAGATAATAACTCATGCCAATTTTTCGTTCGTGACTTGAATGGTAAATTGTGGAAGCTTCCGGCGCCTGAAGCAAACCCCGAACAAGCGCCTGCCACATGCCTTGCGACGTAGCTCCGGCGTCCCCTGCCAAAACAATCTCACCGTATTTTATTGTGCAGATTCCATGCGGGGCCTATATTAGCTCTTTCGATCTCCCCTATGGATCATTTCGCTGCCACAGCTGGGTCGGATGGCACTGTTCGATGTTGGGACTATGTCGCGAGAAAGCAGCTCTTCGCTGCTTCTCACGATAGTCCTGCTACGTCCTTGTGTTGGGTTCCGGCTTCCTTGGACCCGCAGTGCCGCACCGTGGTGGTTGGCTTTGCTGATGGAATTGTTCGCGTACTCTATCGCGCGTCGACGCGATGGCTTCGCGTCCAGTGCTTTAAGCCACACAATGGTTCAATCACCAATCTTTCTGTATCTCCAGATGGGAAATATTTAGCCTCCGGATGTAGTCAAGGTGTTGTTTTTTTTGTTCACACCCAGGAGCTAGATCTTGGGAAATCTCAGCTGCCATATGTTCCTGCGGGTTTTGTCAATGTAGGTAGTTCTGTGCGTTCGTTGTCCTGGCGGTTTGACAGTTCTGCATTGCTCGCTGTATCTGAAACTGGCCAGATTCTCGACATAGATTGCAGTAGCCAGCTCGAACCAAGTGTCCCGGGAACTTACCGGCTACAGGTGCCCACGAAAGCACTTCAAATATCGTGGCCAGATGAGAATGAGGTTCAAAGGGAAGATGATTTGTCGGCAGATGCAGTGCCCTTGGGATTGCAGCGGAAGCCCACCGCCACATATGCCACACACTTCCTGGAAGAGACCATTGTAGTTGCATTTCATGACCTGCGTGAGATAATTCATTCCGTAGATCAGCAGTCCGCCTCCATCGTAGAGTCGTGGCCTGTTGGAATCAACGCTGCAAAGCCAGACGCAAATGTTGTACACATGACTTATGAAACTCACCACAGTTTATTAGTCACAGGAAGCAGCGACGGGTCGATTTCAACTCATTATGTGGATCCGGAAAGTACTAAGCCGCACAGATGTGTCATTTCACAGGCACACGATGCGGACGCGAGTGTAAATGGGATATCCGTCTCACACGACGCTTGTTTTTTGCTATCGGCTGGTTCTGATGGGCTATTAGTTGTTCAGCGAATCAGAACTGATAAGCTGAAAGAGCTCAGCGGTTTTGACGGCGAGGTTGATGACGCCCATGGCTCTGAATTTGTCATGTCTGCGCTTGTGCCGGTCGGTGAACCTCTCCCTGGAATTGATGGATTCAACACAATACTATCTGATGTCCCTAGAGATGCACACGACGAAGCTCGTGAGAGTGCTCACTCACAAGCAGATGACTTACAAAGTGATACTTACTCATTCGAGGATAGTCGCGTGAAGAGCGAAGAAGATAACTACCGGGCTGCGGCCGAGCGGAAAAAGGAGGTGGTTCGGGAAGTTCTCGCGCAGATGAGGAGAGACTTTGAAGACCTGACTCGTGAAAATGCATTGCAGCGCCCTGAGAATCAATTGCAGCCAAGTGATTTGGTATTGGATCCTGATTTCAATCATATGCTGGAAGATCAAGGCGAGACACTCCTGGAAGAAGTACGCCAAGCATGCCAGTACGACAGTGAGCGATCCAAGGTTCTTTTGCGTAAACTTAAAGACCGATACCTAAACGACTTAGAAAAACAAGGTTCGAACACCATGGAGGGGCAATCTATCATGGCGTTGTTGTCGAGGCACCAAGTCGGCTCATTCCGTGTGCCACAGATAGCCGGGCAGTTGAGGCTTTTACTGACACAGTTGCATGCGACTCTGCGCAACGAAGAGCAGGTAATGCCTTTGGGTGACCTCCAATCGACACAGGGCACGACTACCACCAATGGGAACCCAGCTTTATCTGCGGGATTAGCTGGTCTTGATGTAACAAATGGTCAAGAGCATCGGGAATCTAAGTCTCCGACCGTGAAGGAATCCAAGGGTGTGGCCATATCAACCCTTGAGGCACGCAAGTTGATGCGGTTGAATCGCCAATCGAAGCTTGCGGCACTATCTCTTCAGCGACCATCTGAAGATACAGACGACCCTCGAGACATACAGGCAATCGAGCACGCAAGACTGCATCTTGGTGACTACAAGTTAAAATCGGGAGAAGCGTATGAAGTGCCACACAAACAGCAAGTCAACACTAAGCGGAAGCGACGACAAATGCTGCTACTGCAAGAGAATGTAAACTCGATCAAACTCAGATATAATAAGCGATTCTTTGCTCTACGTGATGTCAAGCGGCTTGTGACACACTCGTTGATAGAGGGGACGCAGCAGCTAGCAAAATTGGATCACACTCTTGCTCTTCTTGTTGCCAACACGGAACAGCTTCAGGCTGGTGTACAACAAACAGACCTACTGTGCAATACACAGTTTAAACTAGTCTTGAATGAATGGTCTGATATTGTTAGAAACATCTCGCATGAAGAAACTCGTTCATTTACCCAGTGTCAAATAAATGCATCAAAAGCAGATGCGAGTCAAACACAGTGGGGTTCCAGCACAATAGCAGCGCTGACGACCGAAATTGACTTGCCTGTTCTTCGTCTCATGAGCCGGGTAGCTGATCATGATCCGGATTCCACCTATTTAAGCAATGAGCAGTGTATCATTCATGCAACCACATTGAGGCACAAGCGTGAATCAATTGTGGCAAGAATGAATGAACACATGCTTGCATTTGACAACGCTCTCAATGAACTGCGGAAAGAATACATGCCACTTCAAGCCGACTTGAAAGCAGCAGAGCTTCGACTGCTCATCCTTCTCCAGGTGTGTCACACATAGTCCGTCCGTCTCTGCCCTTCCCTCCCTCCGTTTGTCCGTCCCCTCTCCGACCCGATTGCATCTCCAGGAGCTCTCTCTGCTTAAAAACTTCGAGGCAAGAGATGACGCGCTGACTACTAAACTAAATCGGGCGTCTCGCGAGAAGCACGAAGCATCGATAGCCTTGGCAGACTGCTCGTCACGCCTGACTGCCAAGAAAGCTGACCAGGAATTGTGGCAGGTGAAAAGCCAGGCCTTGTCGTCGGAGTTATATGCTGTTATACCAGATGGACATCAGTTCCATACCGCATTGTTGAAGATCTTTCGCCGAAAGATCAAACGATCCAAGAAACGTTCAAGTGACGACGGCACAGGCGTAGATGATGAAGATGATGACGATGACTTTCAGGATGACGATGATGACGATAACGACGATGACGACGATAGTTGTCCCAGCGGCTGCGATGCTACACTGTATGAGCAAGTTATAGAGCTTCGGGAGAAGCGTTTGGACCAAGAGGAAATTCTAGCCGAAATTCAACGTACCATTGACGAGCTTCAGAGAACCCACGATCGTCATATTCAACGAGAGAAACAAATTGACCGAGACGTGAGCTCGTACTCTAAAGAAATACGATCGTTTCAAACAGAGAAACAGCAGAGGCTCAATAAGTGCGGCTTGTAAATCATGGGAAAACTCTAAGCAACCTCGGCATAGGTTGCACTCAACTATTTCTCTCCATTTAAGCCAGTTGTACATTTTTGCACCGACCTCGTCGGAGGATATTGGACAGTCCACGGTCACTTGTTACCCCCACGATCCAAAGTTTCCCGGAGCTGAGGGGCAAGCGAGCCTGCGAATGTCACCACATGCAGAAATCAGAAAGTCTGTGCTCTTCTCGAGCGCTCGTCTTGAGAAGCTGCATTCTCGAATTTCTGACTTGGAAGCAATTAACAAAACTGAGAAATTGAACTTCAAAGAACTACATCGGACCAAAAGTCGACTTGACCGCGCCAAGATTGCACGTGATGCACAAATCACCCGACTTAGAAGCAAATGTGATGATCTTCAGATGCTCAAGTAATGTTGCTCGTGATCCATTTTTGATCTATTGTGGTACCGAGTAGGTTTGGGCAACTTATTAAACTCGATATCCTTGATCGCGATTCTCTTGTGAATGAAGGTGCCTAGTATTCAGCGTGCACAAGACATGAGCATTGGTAATTAGGGGAAGAATCCATCAACGAGAAGATAAACATTATCGATGTTGCACATGCGAGGCAGCTGAATAAATTGAAACGGCGTCAATACAATCTGCAAGAGGAGCTCCTAAGGGTGACACAACANAACACTGACTTTCTGACTCANATAGCAGCTTCATCAGCCCGGCAGTTTCAGCTCGAAAGAGAATTGAATATTACCAAAACTCTCTCAACTGGCGC